TAATTCTCCTGGGTTTCATACTGGGTCCATCTGATGTACGAAAACGCTTTGTGATTCCGGAAGAAACCAGAGTATGGCGTGAGCATGGGGAAACAAACGAAAACAAGAAAGTATGCAACCATGAAGCGAATGCTTAGTCTCAGAGATCAGAGGCTTAAAGAAAAGGACAGATTAAAACCTAAAAAGAAAGAAAAGAAAGTACCTAGCATGGTGAAGGAAAGAGAGGTCCCCCAACACTCTTCCTGCTTGTTCTTTCAATATAATACACAGCTGGGTCCACCCTACCACATCCTGGTTGATACCAACTTTATCAACTTTTCCATTGAAGCCAAACGGGTCTTGGTGCAGTCAATGATGGGCTGTCTGTATGCCAAGTGTATCCCTGGTATAACTGACTGTGTAATGGCTGAAATTGAGAAATTGGGGCAAAAGTATCGAGTGGCTCTAAGGATCACTAAGGATCCAATATTTGAACGATGACCATGCACACATAAAGGAACCTATGCAGATGACTGCTTAGTACAGAGAGTAACTCAGCACAAGTGTTACATCATGGCCACAGTTGGCGGAGACTTTAAACAAAGAATCCCAAAGATCCCAGGAGTTCCTATCATGTACATTTCTAACCATAGAAACAACATTGAGCAGATGCCAGATGATTATGGAGCCACTAGGTTCTAATTCTTAAAGGACAAAGTTCCTCTGCCTTTCTTTGATCAAATATCTCTGTTGCCAGTTCATTAAACATGCTGTTTGTTATGGGAAAAAAAAATGAAAACACTTTGTAAATCTATCACATGCTGTATTGGTATAGTGTTATCACTATGTACTGAATGTGTCCCACCACATTTCATATGCTGAAACCCTAATCCCTAGTAATAGAGATGGGACATTGGCGAGGTAATTATGGTTAAATTAGACCATGACCATGGAGCTCCCATAATAGGATTAAAGCCCTTATACTAAGATAAAGAGATGCAAGAGCTCTCTACATTCATGTTTCAAGGAAAGGTCATATGAGAACATAGCCAGTAAAAAGGTGGCCCTCACCAAGAACCTGGCCATGCTATCACCCCGATCTGTAAGAAATAAATGCTTGTTTAAGCCACCCAATCTAATGTAATGTGTTACAGAAGCTTGTACTAAAACAATTTTTAATGCTTCTTCAGCAAAATAATTCCTATTATATGCCCTAAAATCATCTCTTGTGAGCTTCAAGAGGTACTTCTTATTTCTAGTGATCTAGGATTTGATAGAGAAATTCAATATTTTATCCTGTCCATGTCTTTCGTGACTAGACTTAAAACCTCAAACTCATCTCTCTTAGTCTTTCCTAATTGCTCTCATTCTTTAATAAAATTAGGTATTCTTTTCTATTTACTAATTGTTTTTAATTTACATCAATAACATTCTGATATATAATAAATGTATAAATGAGCCTCAAAATTCTTAGTATCCTTCCTATTAGATTAGCCATTTATTTATTGGCCCTTGTGGCTATAAGAACACATTGGGCTAAGTTTCCTAAATATTTTACTTATTCATAATTATTAACTTTGCATCAATGCTGCCTGCCCCTCTAGTTCTATATAGCATTTCTGTCCTTGCTGCCATAGTGTACTTGCTCCTCAGTCATCTGCTATTCTCTCCCTGTGCATTCTTACCAGTGCCTGCCCCCTGCAAGTGAGCATGTCTCCCAGTTGCTAGTGCTCTTGTCTTCTCTAGTCTGACTTCCTAGATGTCTTACCCTGACTGTCTTCACTGATGCCAGACCACCTGACATACCGATCACCGTACAATGCTCCCCTGTGAATCTAATTTGCAGGTATACCCACGTTGCATGTTTAAGATCATTAGTACCTGAGTTCTTAGATGGTTGACCAAATTCCAGAATACACACTTTACACTGTACTCTCCTTAGCCTAGTGGTCCAAGTTCTCCCAGCTCTGTCAGGTCACTGCATCAATAACTGACAGGAATCTTGGAAGAATAAAAACTGGACTTCTATATTTTTAATGAAGCCCATTGAATTTTAATCAAATGTGATGAATAAAAATAGATCAAAGTCTATGTTAAAATGAAAGACAATAATGAGAAAAGAAGTGAGAGTCAGTTAGAAATCAAGGGTCACAGCAATAGGCAAAAGAAGAAATAAAGAGACAATCAGGCAGAGAAAGACAAAGGATGAAAAAGATGGGGATGAACAGGGAAATAGAAAACCAAAACTGAAGCATTGACAGAGACAGAGAGAAGAAAGAAACTGGGATGTGAGCAAGAAGTGGGAGAGAGGAAATCAGGCAAAAAGAAAAAGGAGAGACACTGAGATCAAGGATCCCGGGACAGAAAAGGGAAGAGACAGGATACAGCTTACTTTTCCATCTTCCTCCCTAATCTTACCCATTCCTTCCAGAAAAATAAATGAAATGAAAAAGTATCACCCAAATTTAAAGTCTAAATCATAACCACTTTGGTATAGTGGAAATCAATGACCATGGATTTCTATTTCCGTGAGTACGTGGAGAAAGGACAGAAAGTATTAGCATCCAAAACTTTTAGTTTAAAAAGCTAGTGCCTCTCTAGCATCTCTGTCCCTACATCCTTTCTCAAACTAGTTTGGGAAGTATCCATACTGCACAGATGGAGAACATGAACCTTATAAGGAAAAGGCTTCTAAATCAGAGGGAGGAACCTGGCTGGCTCCATGCCTGCCTTCCTCCCTGCAAGCCACAAGGATACCCTCTGAGGAGCACAAAGGCATGCAGCATAGTACCTCATGCATAAAAGTCAACACTAAGTGTGAAGCAAATACATTGGTTCTAGACACACATTTATATACACAGATACATACGGTACATTACATGTTTACTACTTATATACACATGAACTGTTATAAAGAAGTTTGTTCATGGGCCAGCCCCATAGCATAGCACTTAAGCATGTGAATAGGGAGCTAGATGCCACATAACCAACTGTGGTTCAAATCCTGACTCTGGAGACAGGAAAAACATGCTGGCACATATGTAGACGGGCCCGAATTTCTGATAAAATAGAAATGGAGAAGAGGGACTGCAACATGACCACACCCCAGTGAAGGGTGGTCTCTCCCCCTCCTCTCTCTCTCTGGCAGACACATGTGCCATATGGCAATGAGAGAGAGAGAGAGAGAGATTAGTAATTGCATGTGGTACTAACAAAAATAGTCTACTAGTAACTTCTCACTAAGTCTGTTACCTCCAGTGTTCTCAACCCATTTGATGCCATCATCATATAAACTAATATTTCACCCCAATTTACTATATTCTTCCTCTCCAGAAGTTGCACAACATAATGTAATGTTCTCTTTTTTTCAGTTTGCTATAAGGCAGATGCATTCATCAGAGAGAGAAGAAAGGGAGAAAGG